GACGACTTAACAATCGTCAATGAATGTCAGCGGTATAATCAAAGCTGAATTGGAGAGGCCATTAAAGAGCGAACGGACGTTATCTATTCGGAGGAAGATCGGTGAAATCGAGACTTCATCGCTCGCGCTTCGGCTAGAACCGCTTTTCCACACCAGGCTTATACGCACCGGATCCAATGTACCAGGTTTCGTAATCCGAATTTAATTAATGCAAGCAGGCGTGCTTAGATTATCGTGTGATTTTCAGAGCACCGGATCCTAAGTAAACGATCGCGGCGCGCAAGAAATTAAACCTCCTCCTCCGATCATTAATGCGGTAGTTCGAATTTTCGCAGTAAATTCGCCGTTTATAATAGCAAAAGAATTGTTCGTGAGTCTTTATTGTTATTCAACTTTATTATACGGGGGTATTATGTTAAATGAAATGATCCACAACTTCGTAATTTTCTCAAGTACTCAAACACCCGGTAAAGTTTTATATTTCTTAAAACTTTATAAAATTTATATTACAAGAACTAAAAAAAATATGAATTAATTTGAAAAATTAATTTATTCAAGATACAAACAAGTTCGTGAAAAGTTCTTGAAATTGCTGTGCGTGTACTAATGTTTTTTTTTTTTTTTTAATTGCATTAAAAATACTGTTGTACATTTTTTGTATTTTACACGTAGAACTATCATTGAGACGAAATAAAATAAAACAATAATAATAGTTTTAGTTTAGTTATTTGCATACAAAATAGAACGTCGCTTAGAATTCTTGATCGAGAAGTGAGGGGATCGCGCGCGAGCTTCAAACGACAAATAACACGCTGATATTATCGTACGAAGACGGATACGTGAAGGTTTATCCTCCGAGTTGCCTTCCGTCGGGGCGACTACTGCGCTTGGGAGAACACAGCCCGAAGGAACTGCGCTAGACGATCAATATCCATTGTCAATATAATTCCGACGACGTTATTGAACGACGACGAATGCCGCGGATTGTCAATACGGCCGATTGTGAGTATTAATAAGTGATGGAATTTAAACTGTTTTTTTTTTTTTTTTTATATTCCGCCGATAAGTAGCGATTGCGACGAAGTCTGACGTATCGGTTTATATCAAACGGTTTTAGCTTATGTATAACATGTAAAAAACAATTTTACAAATTGTTTTTTGAATGTTTTTTTATCTCTCTCTCTCTCTCTCTCTCTCTCTCTCTCTTTCTCTCTCTTCTTTTTAGTTAAAAATCAGCTAAATAGGACTTTTTATTTTTCCGCGTCATCAAAAATGCCGAACGCGGCGCGAGGATACGCGCGCGAAGAGGAATTCTTACAATAAATTTTATTCGGACTATTTTATCGCGTTTCGCGCCTCGTAAGAAACCGTCTCGCGCAGAGAATTTCGAGAAATATGAGAGACAAAAGTCAAGATCGTCGCGCGGATTTCTCCGTAAAATGGACGATCTTGTTCCAACGATAAGGATGAACTTTTGCTTCTTGATGTCGCGGGCACAATCGAGCATCGAGTTTGACGAGTTTTGTCTCATGTGATTTTTATCTCGTGGCATGAAATGTGCGTGATCACATAGTTCGGGGCGATCTTACAGAAAGTAAGCGATTGACGACTCGCGGTGGACAGATAAAGTTTAAAATCATCTTGCCACAGGCATTTTCTACTTCAATGTTTTCTCTTTCCCAAGATACTCCTCGGAACAGAATGTCGCGTTTTACGCGGCTCTCTCTCTCTCTCTCTCTTTCTTTCTCTCTCTCTCTCTTCCTCTCTCAGAAAGAAAAGTCAAGCTTTCGCGGAAAATTTTTCCAAGACATGACGAACATAATGGATATACTCAATAAATGGAAAAAGTCAGTTTCTATTACGACAAATTCGATTCGAGTGTGTTTAACAGGTTCCATGCCGCGTGGATCGTACACGCCCCACTCTATAGACTTTCCGTTTAGGCCATGGTGCTATTTTCGCTATTGAGTGTGACATTATTATAAAATATTTTCTAAAATCATATTGATGCCGAAATATCATATATATACAATATAGTTATTACATCGTGGACATTTAACTACTTTTTTCTTGATAATAACGATTTCTGCAATCGTAGAAATATTATATGAAACATATGTCATAAACAAAATTGGTAGTCTCGAAAGCGTGGGACTCACGCATACGACCCACGCTGCGTGAACGAAAAGTCATCGAAAATCGGACCGGCACGGAACGTGTTAAAAGGTAAAGGCGTGAGAAAAACATACGTAACACACACAACGCGTTTATTTTTATCTTTACGCATGTTAATGAAGGAAGAAAAAGTAAATTTAAATAGCGTAGTCTGACGTCAGCATTTCCGATTTAGTTATGCACATATCTTGCGCAATGACCTTTATTCATCGTCTTCGTGATCAATATAAACGCGTGTATATATATATATATATATATATTTTATATAATTTTATTTTCTTTACTTTTTACGATATTCACATTTTATTGCCTTCCGACCTTGATAGAGGTGAGCAACTAAGGCGGCGTCAACTCGGTCGTGAATAATTAATTATTACAACACACTTGCGACCTGTATAAAGTGCAATTTTTCTCTATTTACGTACTATCGCGTAATACAGCGCGCGTATATAATACGCGACACGCGTGTTGTCTCTTCGAAAAACCAGGAAGAGGAAGCTCACTTCGCTAGACACACGCGATCGATAAACACACACAACTCTTTGGTTTAATCACTTTAAGGTCGGAAAAATGTCATGTCAAGAGGAAAGACCTTTCACTTTTATCCCCTGGTACGTGTGTGTATATTATGTCGCGATGTCTGTGTGTTCGTATTGCGTGTTTACATGTGTGTGAGCGCAGCATCGTCTTCGTCGATCGAACTTAGCCCGCGTGAGAGTTTGCCATTTAACCTTTAATCGAATAACGCGGAAATTAAGTGCTCCTTAACACTCTGCTGGTTAGGAAAATAAGTCGCACTAACGAGTTTAGCATCTCGTTTAGCCTGCAGATCAGGATAGGCCCGTTCGAGGGTCTGCGAAAACTCGATAAATGAAGAGTTCATTCCTTTCATTTTAAGACGATACGATCGATTAAATAGTTTCATTGTTGCGCAAAATAGAATGTGATTGTTAGAATACCGATAACGCATTATCACAAGTCGATGTAAGAGCAAATGTAAAGAGAAAATAAAAACAGTAACAAATTTCAATAACATCATTTCGATACCAGAATCAAAGTTTCAGTTACCGTAGATTGTAAAACAATGTATTTATATTATAATGTTTTAACTTTTAAATCGCAAAACTCTCTGTATTAGTTTTTGAAATTTTTATATTTTGAATAAAATACACACAACGAGTATATCAAGTGTCAATTTTTTCCTTTAACCGAAAAATGCAATCTTTGTTGTATCACATAATACAGTTTCACAATACGCGTATCAATTGAATTTCCGATTGTGGAGAACTGAATTTTTGAAGAGTGGATTTATTTATCATACAATAAATATAAATTCGAGTCAGAGCTGTGTGAGACGTGTGTGAGTGTATGTGCGTGTGTGTGTGTGTGTGTGTGTGTGGGTTAAGCGCAGAAATGTCGATGTTATAAAAGCCATAATGCAATTTTTCTCGACGGAAAACGAAATAACGTTACATGAAATAAAAGGATGAGAAAATTGTGAATAAATAAAGTTATTAAATTTCCGTCGATTTGCGTCGATATACTTCTTACACGGAATATGATTGTAAAATATAAACGCAAATGAAAATACATTGTTTTGAAAATAACTGGCACGAACTCGCAATTATAGATAATTATACAATTTTCGTTAATAAATTGCTCTTTAGCACGAATTGTTTTGTTACAATTGCAATAAAAATAATTTGTAGATGTTGAAATTATATAGGTCGCGCGTGAAGATACAAAAAAAAGCATAATTAACACATCGTTTGACCGGTTTAAACTAAATAATCTTGATAAATGAAATGTGGTGATAAAGGTCACAAGTAATGGGATTATTTATTTTTCAATTAATCTCTTTATCTCTCTCTCTCTCTCTCTCTCTCTCTCTCTCTTTCTATCTGTTTCTTTCTCCTCGCCTTGATGAAAGTTTCGTTTGAAATCCAATTTGCGATTGTTGAAAGCGCAAGACAAATACTTCAAATTAACTTTTGTTCGCGGCTCGACACTTCGACTTGTAAAATCGAAAAATGAAATGTTACAAATCTATGTTTTTTTTCGAGAACAGAAAACTGCGCTTCGAAAAACGTTGGGATGTGAGTTACGCCGGTCACGTCGTAATTTGTTGCCTCCGGGCGTTACAAAAAAAAAAAAAAAAAATAGGCAACAGTTGCCATTCCAAGAAATAGGACTTTAATGTACATATTAAAGTTCGAAGAACCGTGCAAGGCAATGTCGCGCATCCCTCGTGCAAAACATCCGGTACACCTCGTCTACACTGCGCGTGTAAAGCGAGCTGGCGAGAAGATGGAATATTAATGCGAGAACCGCACGACGCGAGACGCGCGCGCGCGCACGCGTACAATTGTTAGGAAAACACCGGGAAGCATTTCGTATACTGTATACTGCGCGGAAATACGTGTGTGCGCGAAAACAGAATTGAGCCCGTTTAAAATGTAGATACAAATCTGCTCGTTTCAACAAACAGCTATTTTTCACGAATAAATAAAGAATTATTTACCAAAGACAACACAATTTTTTTTTGCAGAATGAGAGCACGTGCATATGCAATCATCTGTGTCGGATAATTTCTTCGCTTTTTTTCACAAAAAGCGAATTTCTATCCAAATTGTCATTTTAATCAAAATTTTTCAAAAATTGTCTATTCGCATTTTTCAAAGCAACATCCACCACAGAATGTTGCGATGATTAAAATATGTGTGTTTCGCGAAATCTCAGAAAGAAGATCATCCCCAATGCGCCCGTGAGATAGCATATGTTCGAAGATTTCCCGCGTAGTCTTGAAAAAATAATGTAACACTTACCTATGTCCGTCATGTAGACCTTACCAAGATGACGCACGGCGTAGAGGTGAAGTAATCCGAAGGCGAGCTGCATCCCGGTGGTAAGCAACAGGGCTAGGAACCCGGCGGCGCAGACCAACCAACCCCAGCCACCTTCCGGATAAAAGTGCGTTCGCATTCCAGTGACGTCTATGCCTGAAGGAAAAGATAGATTATTCCGTGAAGATTTGGAAAATAAATTGCGAAGTCATTTCAATGTTATCGATCATTTTTATTAGAATAACAGAATTTCTAATATTTCGCGTGTCTCTCAATTCAAATTTTCCTCCAAGCTAGAATTTTTCTCGCTTTATTTCAATATACCAGATCGATAAATTGATTGTTTTTTTACGTATATTTTGAAAAAATTTTTACGTGTATTTTAGGAATTTTATACAATTCTCTTGGCCTTAATAAAACAAACACGGTATTTTCTCACGTTGCAATGTGCTAGATCGACAAATCGATTGTTATATTTTATTTTCACAAAGTTTTTAGGAGAATTCTATAATATTCTTGCCCTCATAAAAGATAAACACACAACAAACTTATTATTTAAAAAAACTCACATGTGTTATTTGAATTTTAAATAAATGGAATACGAGGTAAAACACACATGTGTTCCTATTCCGGTATAAATTTATTGTTTATTTACTTGTTTGTGTTTTTATCTCGTTTTTAAGATACCTGTGCGACGAAGCGCGGGCACACAACGATGCAGGCTGCGTAAGTCGCTCAGAACCCAGTTCGTGTTACCACCCATGCCGTCGTCGCCGTCTATGCATGAATAACGAGGACGAGTGTCTGAAAAAGAAACCGTAAATTAATCGTGAAATATGCATAGTTACTTTTTATAATTTCATTTATCACACTTTTTCTCGGATGTATTAACTTTATTTTTTCAACATCGCTCACTTTTTTGAGACTCTTATTTTTATAAAATCTTGTTGGAAGGAAATATCAGTCTGAAAAATTGTTAACATTTTTATTTCAATACACGCGTGCACGTGATGTTCAAGATTTAAACAATTCTATTTTTTCAATTAAAAATAGTATCTAAAGTAAATCTCTACGCGTTAAGAGATTTCATTAAAGAGTTCAATAAACATAGAAAAAATTCTAAACCGAAACATTTTAATTTCTAAAACTTCTGATGCTTCACAAAAAGCACCGAATTTTTTTTTTTTACGATGCAAGCGACGTTAGACGAGTTCACGTCGACAATCTGTGGTCGGCGACGACCGCGACGTTTGCATGAGACAGGGTGCAAGGAACGAGTTGAAAGAAACGACATGCGGGGAAAATGGAAGCGAAGGAAAAGGTTAGATAGGTAAATGTACCCTTTAAAAGGGTCGAAAAGTAACGTTAGTCGCCAAAGTCAAAGGACCACGGGAAAAAGAAAGAAAGGTTGATGATCGTGAAATAAAGACCGGACCCGTAAAATCATCAAGATTCAACCCCGTCGCTTTCACGAGGAAACTGTCTAACTGAATTATGAGTAACGCGTGTGCGTGTGTGTGTGTGTGTGCGGAACGACCGTTTCTCGCAGCAAGAATAAACTTTTCCATTAGCAACGTTAAATGTTAAACCGTCTCCTGGATTTCACATTGGCCGCGCATTTTCCAGCGAGAATAGAATTCAAGTACCCCGCCGTTATTGTTATTTACGCTTGCGATTTCAACGGCCAATTATCGTCGAGTAACTTCGATTTGCAATCGCTTTTTCTTATTTCTTCTCAGATACACGTGCATGTATTCTCTAAACAGGCGGTGAAAATTTTCAATATAAATAACAAGATTTTTAAGTAACTTTTAAAATTTTTAATTAACATTTCTTTGCGTACGTAAAAAACAAACTTTGTTAGAAAAATTTTCAACACATGTATTTGTTTTTTTCTTTTTTCACACGCAGCTTTCCTTACAACTTAATATAAACGATATTTTACGAAACGTTAATTATTCCGCAGGTTTGACTTTGTTATTTATGCGAATAAAATTGTGGATTTGCGAGTTTTAGTTTCGCGCTGTTTCTGATTTATTCGCGCCGGTCTTCGTTTATGACACTTTGGCGTGAGCTGTAAGTTATCGCGCCACAGTGCACGGCGGCGCGGTGCGGGCAAAAGTGCATTTACCAATTCAATCTCGGCAACGTGTTCGTAAGTGGATAAGTTTTCATGAGAGAGAGAGAGAGAGCTCTGTGTTGCTCATTAATGTTCGGCGTGTAAAACTATTTATAGAGGAGAGGAGAAGATTATTTGTACAGCGCGCGCACGCCGCGCCGCGCCGCGCCTTAGTCACCAATAACGAGACGTCGCGTCTCGTAGGAAGGCAAATTATAGCAACGAGGACGAAATTCTTCATTACCCCGGGTACATAATGAAAACAAGGAATGAAAGGAGCGAAGAATGCGAGAAGGACAAAAAAGAAGACAAAACGTGACGTGAGATATTTCGCCGAAAATGATACGAGACATAAAAATTGTCGAGGGTGTCTCTGGGTGCCAGGAACGAAATTGCCGTGAGACGAGTTACGAGAGAGAAAGAGAGAGAGAGAGAGAGAGAGAGATGCGCCTTTAGAATGCTAGAAAAGATGTGGCATGTTCGCATTTCTCGCAAACATGCAGCATCCTTAGCAAAATCACGGCTCCATTTTCGCGGAGCGATCTGAGCAAAAAACATCGTGTTGAAAAACATCGAGACAAAGCACAATAAATCCATTAAAAATCTTAGTTAATTTGCAAATATTGCAAAAAAACACGAAAAATATTATAAACCTCGTAAATTCAAGAAACACACACACACACACACAAAAAATTTGTTTCTTTTTTCAAGATACAAGTAACTTCTATCCCGATTTATTTCCATATCTCATTGATTTCCGCGAGTCGTTCGTTATTTTTCATACGCTCTCGTCATTCGGAGATGTTAATGAATAAAACGAGCAAACATTGTGGATTTTCTTGCTCATTGTGTGATAATTTTCTTTGAACAAAGAAACTCCGATGAGGTACGATATTACAATACGGACTAACTACCGAGATCCACTTTTGTCGAGAAACTGAAAAAACCAACGGTTGACCTATATTTTTGACAGACACTCCTTTCGACGATACATCCAAGCTCGAAATTTTCAAGGTACCTTTTCGGCGCCGTTAAGTGGGATTGATTGTTATTCCACTGTTTCCCACTCTGTAACCTTTTCTACCTTGCCCTATTTTTTTTCGGCTTTCATCGTCGAGAGAAAACAATACCTCAGCAATGACTTTGCTTCGAAATCCCGAAATTATCGATAGAAGATCGATAACGTATTGTGTACTAAAACCAGCATGAAAAAAAATTTAGAAAAGTAACAAAAAACTGTGAGAAAAAATTTACCTAAGAATTGTGCGATATTTCTTTAAAACCTCGACGTAAAAAAAAAAAAAAAAAAAGTTATTTCGTTTGGAAACGCGCGTGAGTTCCACATTTGTGTTTCAAGATAACATTTTACATAGGAAATTAAAAAAACAAAATAAATTAAAAAGAATGAAATTACAGAATTATACGTAATAAAATCCACTGTTCAATTCGCAACGTAAATTTTCAATCGAAAAATTAGGCATACAACGCACGATTTGCAACACATACTATTACAAGCTCGTTTAACAGATATGCCGCTTGAATTAAAATTAATGTGAATTAATTCGGCTCGTTTAATTTAATTAAACATCTAGCAGTTAGCGCTAGTTTAATATGTTATATATACGTAACGAAATCTATGAAATATACTCTTCTAGCGCACATTGAATTCGAATTTTATGTGAAACATAGGTGTATGATACATTTAATATCAAGATTGTGAAAAGCCAAATCCGACGTTGGCTCATATAATGCACTATCTTGCGCAAATACCTAGTCTCTAACAGTAAATTTAATTAATTTGTTGACTCTCATTTAATTAGAAGATTTATTTAATTAAATTATCTAAATATTAGAACAAAGCGATGATTTTGCTTTGTATGTGTACAAAACGAAATAATTTTAATATAAATTACATTCGAATTTCTCATCGCGATATAATAATAACAGAGCGGAATATTTGTATTTGTGCCGTGTGTGATATATAAACTAACTGAGAGAAATTAAAAAGTTTCTTAAATCCAGAACTCTAACGGAGTGTAAAATTTCTAATCTGCATAACAGCCCTTCTCGGATATTAGAGTTTCTGTTCTGTGACCAAACGCGCGCGCTTGTTTGCGCGGACACCGAATCTGCATGCTTGCGGAGCAATGAATCGGTTGCGGCGAGAGAGGAGAGGGCGAATGGTTGGTTTCTCCTCCCCTTCGATGCGCTGTTCTCTTTCAACCCTCCTCCTGTCCACCGAGGCTGTGTGTGTCGGGCAGCCTCGGAATAAAACGACGCTCGAGAAAACGTGGAAAGCCTCTTTTCTCTAGCGGAACCGATTCGTTGCTTCGCATCCGCAATGTTACTTCTCGGAAAAGTTAAAGCAAACTCACCGCCGTGATACGAACTCCCGCGATGCGGCAGATACGTGCCGTTTTGACCCTCCATGCAATGAGTCGGCGTGTAGTACTGCATAGGGTGTTGCATGTAATTATTGGGTGTGCTGGGTACATGTACCGGATGACAATGTATGCATCTTCGTGGTGTCTCGGGCGGAACCTGCAAGCGAGATAAATCTTCGACGCTCTTGCGAAGGAGAGAGAGAGAGAGAGAGAGAAAGAGAGAGAGAGGGAGAGAGAGAGAGAGAAGGGTGGTAGCAGGATGTGTAGTGAAATCCGTGTCGACGATCACCGTGTTCATTATTATTGTTACGAAATATTGCTCCCGCGTTGACGTTAGCTACGTAATAACGCACACTGCTTGTTATCAAAATTTATTGCCACGTCACACATGAACTATCGCGCACTAGACTTCAAGTATCTTCTGGAAAATATATCATTTGTCTAATAGTGCATCATATGTGAAGTGACGAGGGGGATGCGCTTGATTTTATATAATAAAGGTGTCATGTCATATTTTTCTCGCTTTAATACTCTTTTGCATATTATAATAGTATATTATAATATATCAAATTTATATTCACGTCTCTTTTATAATCGCGAAAATTTATGAGATATCGATTAAAAAATGTAAAACTGTCTCGATTAAAAAATTTTAATTTAAAAAAATAAAATAAAATTTTATTTTTTCTGCGTCAAATTTGCGCTTGTGTAAACAAGCAATTTTCTAAATAATAATGATCATCATCGTCATCAGACTCAATTTGTTTAAACTGATAATAAATCAATGCCGACCGAGTTTTCTCACTCACCATCGAATGTTGCGAGCGCAGCGATCTTATCGAGCCGGTCGGGTGTAAGGACGGCACGCTGCCGCCGAAGCTCATGGCCGAATTTCTGCATCCTGCCGGGGTGGACCAACCTCCGCGCATACTGGCCGTAGTCCACCCCATTCCACCGCCGCAGTCGTCCACCAGCATCTTCAGACCAACGGCTGGACACGACGCATTTTACGCTTCCGCCATCGATGAAGCATCAACGATCCACTTCGATTCGCTCAGTGTACTTTATTCATGTCACGTCACTCTGTCCAAGTTTCGGCGAAGATTAAATTACATCCTTCTTTGCTTGCTGCTCGAATTTTGCGCGAGTTCGACTCGAAGGGAAGATGAATGACGTTACACGAGTTTCGAGTACAAAGAACTACGGAGACAATCGTCTGACGATGTGATCGAGGTTTCAATGGCATTTTTTGTGTCGCCCTGCAACCGAGAGAAAGCACACGGCAATTGTTGATCAGTAAATTATTCTGATTACTAATAACTATAATGACGTATCATTGTGTAAATGATTTGAATTCATTCTTTATTCTACGTCATTCGCAGCATAAACAAATAAACATCATTTATTATAGCATCATATCTAAAATAGAATATAAACATTATTTGTTGTATTTTAGATACGACAAACAAAACGTTTCCGCATCAGAAAAATCACATCGCAATTTTCCTCTGACAATATTCAAATTTACGTTTAATTTAAATCGCGTAATTGCTAATAAACCTTTTTAATTAACCTTTGTAATTAATTATCATAAATTTTTCCACAATGAAGTCGCTCAAAATACACGCACTCGAATATATAATACTGTGATAATTTTTATGTATTAGCCAGTTAATGAGAATTGTGTAAATCATTATTAAATTTGCCGAACAATGTTTGTTATTATTATTATTGTTACGCGAAAGTCGAGAGAATCGAAAAAAAAAAAAACAAGAGCTCTATCGAGGATAAAGAATTTAAAATATCGAATGCATCGCGCGCAGGATTCACATTCGATTAAGTCGGATTTATATACACCGTGATTTGTATATCGGAATGTTTTTTATGCGTATACTTATTCGAGAGAAAAGAGTCGATGAGGATAAAATTGATATTGGATGCGTATATATATATATCGCGCGCGCGAAAAGTTATGTTACGTTGGCGCTTCGAGTTATCGGCGCATGTATGCCAAAAGCATGTTCCATTTCATCGGTCGAATTCAATTATTTTCTGATTGCTTTGCAAATTTTTGCCGTAACGATGCATAACTTGCGTTTCTAGTTGCAGAAACTTTCTTTAACGTTGACAATATTTCTCGTCAAAATGAAGCGACACTCGCGCACATTTCTCAAACGTTATTAGCGTCTAATTAACGCTTTGCATCTCTCGGAAATCATCAAGTAAGAGTAGTTTCGTTCACTCCCGCTGATCTTCTTTTGTTTCTTTGATTTCAAACAATTTCAGTTAGAACCGCAGAGAAAATCGGGAGGGAAAAAAAAATACTAAAATAATAAAATGGTACAATTCGCCCCGGAATTTTATGTACGCTATAAGATTTTACGGTTTAACTATCCAAAAAGTATGGGGCTCGCTAAGAACCCTCTATTTTTAATCAGTTGAGAGGATTAAAATCGCGTGCCTCTTTCGATCGTTCGTAATACCGCAGTGAGCCCGTACTCGGGTTTCTACCGGCGTAACGCACATCGACATTCGTGCGTCGCAAATCTGTGTCGTCACTTTTTGAAATATATATTTCACATATACAGCGCGCGATACTAAATGCGTCACGCGCGATAAATACCTTCGGTAATTATTATATTGTAAACATTATTATATATATTACAAAATGTCAAATATATATTGTGTCACTTGACTCTGTTAATTTTATCGATCTTACTCCTTATTAGAATTGTTTTATTCACAACATAGAGCTGTGTATGTACGTGTGTATGTATGTGTAAACACATACGTCAAGAATAAATTTTGATTAAGAAAAAATATTGAACTTTATGGAACAGAATTTACATGCACTTTATTTGCAAACATTCAAAACAAATTCTGTTTCAAAGATTCTTCTTTTTTCCATAAATTTTTTTTACAATAGTTTTGTTTTTTTTCTCTCTCTCTCTCTTTCTCTCTCTCTTTCTTTTTCTCTTTAACTGTATCAGAATATACTGAAATGAATAATGTGATGAATAATGGATCGCGCCAGTGCATCGGTGATGTTCAGCATTAGACTATTCGTACTACGTGGAATATCGGATCCTCTGACGTTGCAATTTTTATCTCGCGAGATTTATGTCCTACGTCGTGCGCGCTGCTGATCCTTCACCCTATCACAAGCTCGATATCATAACCGCGTACAGTGAAGTCTCTCTGCAAAAAGAGAGCAGCAACAACACACACACACACAGTGCGGGAAACAAACGGCAGATTTGTATTCTCGCCGTTGGCATCCGGCGTGAATTTCACATCGACGACAAGCGTCATCGGGAAACGAGAGAATTTTTCTCAATGACCTCAGGAATACCGCACAGTCCGTAAATCCGTTTTGCAGAGTATTTTTTTTTTTTTTTTTGTTTTTTAAATCGGAGCAACTAAGCGGATAATGCTCCAAAACCGTTGCGTCTATAAAAAAAAAAAAAAAAAAAAAAAATTTTTGCGTGGTTTTCATCAAATAAAGTTTGTAAAATAACAGTAATCGATCCCTTCCCCGTATCTCTCGGTGTATACACGTAAACTCGTGCAAGGAACATTAAATACGGAAAATAAATAAATGCAATGTAAATATGTGATGTTGTTTTTGTGCTGTTTATCGAATCGAATATCGTGTGTGTGGGTGTGTGTGTGTGAAAAATGAATTTTATTACGCCATAATGAATTGACAAAATATTTGCTAATCAATTTTTAATTGCAAAAGAATTAAGGGGTTTCCCAATGAGGAAAGGCCGTAAATATGCTTCGGATTTTCCTATGTTGGCGGAGGTTAATATTGGATGCCATTGTAATTAGCAGCGAATGAGCACACGTGAAAGCATATCGAGAAACAGATTTCGAAACAAATATTGTAGCACTGTGTAATTATCGTTTATGCAGTCTCGAAATTAACCGAAACAACGTGCAATTGCATATATTACGTGACCCGTGCTTCCCGCATTTGTCACGCTCTTTTGCAGGTGTAACAAATAGATTCACGTGTAGCAATAAAATTATTTCTTTCGAGAGAATATTGTCGTTGAGATTATTTTGCACAAATACAGTGTACAAGAAAGTAATTAATACACGTTGGAATTTTTTTGCGTCAAAGAGAAAAAAGTTTTTTTATCTAATATTATTTCGAGCGTTTGATACGTACGTGAGCTTACAAATAAAATAAAATGTAAAAAAATGAGAAAAAGAAAAAACATTTCGTCGTTTAAAAGTGAGTATGCCCTAACAAAAAAAAATAGCAAAAATACTCCAAAAAATAGCATATTTAATATCGCACGATAACATTTCGACGCGCAGTGGATTAAGACAGTCTATGGTCGGACGCGGAGACGGAAAGAGGATGCGTGTTGACACATGATGTTGAATTCCAGGATAGACCGATGGCGGCACGTAGGGGGCGACAGCGAACGATAGACGGCAAGCCGCGAGTAATCCCGCTAGATTGAATCCTGCAACCCCCTCAAGCTCCCGGACGACTATAGTAGATGATCATGTAACCATCACCAACACGAATTGCTGTCCGAGCCATCGTCTCGCGCTCTATCCCGCCACTTCTTCTTCCTAATTTTCTATGAAAACATTTTCCCGCCCTCCCCCCCGGGCGGTTTATGAGCGCGAGCAAAAGATATTGTTACCATCAACCCTCTCGAGCCTGTGTCTCGCAATCTGAAGCACGAAATACCATCCGGGTTTGTTCAGATGACAGTTGAGGCGATGCCAAGAACGTTTCGCAAACTCGGTGAATCTCTTGGGAATACGCGATATTATAGGTTGTCACTTACCAAAAGATGTGTTATATCAGTAATTATTTTCTTACAATTTTGTCTCACACATGTTATCATTTCATTTAACATTTTTACAAATCTATCCGTTTTTATTTTGTTGCAATAAAAACATATGTTGCGCATGATAAACTAATATTATTTTTTTGTTATTTTTCACAACTTTCTCCTCTCTCTTGTATTTATTCTTTTTTATTCTTATATTTATTTTTTTTTATACATTCTATTCATTTTCGTTATTGTTGTTTACAATTAAACGGTTTCGCTCCAAACCGGTTTTTTTTTCGAAGAGCATCGATTTGTTCGAACGCGCGAGAAGCGAAATTTAAAACAATCTGTTCGCGCGCAAAAATGTTCACGGACGCGCGCCACAAATGAAAGTAAAATCGTTGTGATTCACACACGCAAAATTGTTGTTAAAAATAAAAGAAAAAAAAAAAGAAAAAAGAAAAAAAAAGTGTTTGAAATGAGGTCTCGCCACGGTGTTAAATAGAACGCCTCCGGTAATTGGGGCAAAACGCATGAGGTGTACATCAAGCTGCGACCCGACGTGGCCGCAACGTGAAACTGACACTTTGTCAGCTGAAATGGTTAAAACGCGAATACTGTTGGTCGCAAAATATGCAGTAGCTCTTTAATTTAACCTCTGCTCGTATTATTAAGAAATCTATTTAGATGATGATTTGTTTTTTGTCCCAATCTCTTCCAAGTGACGATTGCGAAACGTTTTTGCCTGCGGAAAATCGTGTTCTTTTCTCGCTTCCACACTGACATTTAAAAATATTAATTAATTAAATTAACATTAATTCAATATAATGTTACATTAATATCACATTAAATTAATATATATATTAAAATATATATTAAAATAATTAATATATATATATATGTATATATATATTAATATATATATTAAAATGATGGATTAAATCCAAAAACTTAGATCGAACCCTTAGTTTTCTTTACGATCAGAGAAAAACTTTGTAATCTCTTCGACGTGAATTCTGTGTGCGTGCTCTGTCAAATTAATAATAAATAAACTGAATTCTCGCTTTGTACTTCGATTCTTATTCCGATATCGATAATTAATTTACGCTTTTCTTCGACAATTTCCATTAGAGCACGAGAATTATTTCTGACACAAAACGAGAGAAAATTATCCCTCAAACACGAAACGTGAGCGCTAATTGTCATCGTTATTTAATCGAGACGTCATATTGCCGACAATCTCTGTGGGTTTAGCTGATGCTAAAATGCATTATTGACCCGTCGGGATAAAGTAGCCATTGAAATACGAGCTATCTATTTATTACAGATCGCCGCACGATTCGACACGTTTGCAGGTTGCTGCATTATGAATATATATCTACCCCCATCACTCGCTCGCTCGCTCGCTCGCTCGCGCGCGCGCGCGCGCACCCGCGCTATCGATTAAATATACGTTG